AAAAAAAAAAAAAAAAAAAAAAAAACCAAGATTCTGGGTCTAATCCAACACTAAAAGGACACATGCCATTTCTATAAAGGAAACTGACATGACACTTAAAATGTATTAACACGGTATGACAAACCTAACAAGAAAGAATACATTAAGATCAGCATGGCAGCATTTCTGTGAGGCCGAAACAGATAGGATATAAAAGTTGTTGCCTAAGGGCTTAATGTAGATCATGAGTGAACCAAATTCCAGCTAGGTTACATTCTCTAATTATATTCTCTAATAATATATCAAAGAATCTAAACACATACCTTGATTTTGAAGGCCCTTTTGAATCCACTGGCAAAGAAGCCTCCAAATGGGCCAATTAAAGATGCAAAGGTTGACAGAGCAATGCTGTGGATCTGGAAAGGGTACAAGCTCACTCTTTCCTAAAGAGGAAAAAGAAGGGGACAAGAGGGGCTAACTTCATTGAAATTGTATTTGAGCATGCACCTGATCCATGAACCATGATATACATAGTAAGTCAAAGCACACACCACATTAATCTTTCAAACTTTAAGGATCATGGAAGAAAAGCCTATTGTAAGCCTTCTGAACCATCCTCTACTTAGACAGCATTTTCCTTCTCTCTGTAAGCATAATGACAGGAAAGTGGCACACTGAAATCCTGCACCTTGGTAGACTACCTCCCAGGTTGTCTAGGAACCTGACTTCTTACCAAGAATCAGCTGAGTTATTTTCCAAATTTGTTTTTTTTTTTTTAAATTAACTAGTAATACTTTGTTTTTGTAATTATATAATTTAATATTGTATTTTATTTCACTTTAATTTTGTATGATGAAATAAGAGAAAAGCTGGACTTTTCTCTAAAACTAAGATGAATGCTGCGGAAAAACACAAAAATAAGTTGCTTAAAGAAGATTATCAAAATGAGCATCAGTGAGACAATAACTAAAGATTTGGGGAGACAATCGTAAAAATTGAGAAGAATTCTGTAGTCAAAGTATTTTGCAAATTTGTAGTTCTTGCTCCTTTTTAAATAATCTAAAACTGCAACTTATAGACAGTACAAAATGGGTGTGGTTGAAGAAAGATGTTTGGGACACCAATTATTTCTTTTTTTTTTTTTGAGATGGACTTTCACTCTTCTTGCCCAGGCTGGAGTGCAATGGCACAATCTCAGCTTACTGCAACCTCTGGCTCCCAGGTTCAGGTGATTCTCCTGCCTTAGCCTCTCAAGTAGCTGAGATTGCAGGTGTACGCCACCAGGCCCAGATAATTTTTTGTATTTAGTAGACACAGGGCTTCACCTTTTGGTCAGGCTGGTCTGGAACTCCTGACCTCAGATGATCCACCCACCTCAACCTCCCAAAGTGCTGGGATTATAGGCACGAGCCTCTGTGCCCAGCCAAGACACCAATTTTTTGACCAGTTCTCAAAGCAATAGCCTTGCTCCTAATCAAAGACTGGCAGTATAAAAAGTTTTATAGCAGGTAACAGATGTCTTGGACATTGAAAAAGTTCTTGAAAACCATGTACTAAGAACTCAAAGAGAAATAATTAATCTGCTTCTCAAAAATTAAGAATTTTACTTAAAAATAAAATGTTTCCGATACAAATGTGTGTGTGCAAAGACACAGACACACACTCACTTTAACCAGCCACTCACCAGACCTGACGACACAGATCAGGAGGGTTCTACTGGAGAGCATGTCAACGTCCTCCAGTGTAAGGCCTCCAATATACCTTTAAATGAAGGCACTGTGCATTTGGAAGGAAAACTGATTTTTAGAAGCAGCAACTTTCTGCACTAATAAATGTCCTCTAAAAATCAAGGACTCGGTAAACTCGTGAATTTTTACTTAAGTTTTAAATTGAGTCAATTGATGTCATAATATGAGAAACCCATTCTAAACCATTTGTTTCATTTGATTTGCAACCTGTTCTCATCCATTTGATTTAAGCTAACACTAAAACCGCTCCTATATCAAAAGAGTTAAAATTCTACAGAAATCAGTTTCTTGTACAAATGTGAATCCCACTTTTAAAGAAAGCTTAATCTTCAGGCCAGGCACAATAGCTCACGCCTGTAATCCCCAGCACTTTGGGAGGCCGAGGCAGGCCGATCACTGCATACAGACTGGCCAACATGGCGACACCTGTCTCTGCTAAAAATACAAAAATTAGCCAGATGTGGTGGCGTGTGCCTCTAATCTCAGCTACTCGGGAGACTGGGGCATAAGAATTTCATGAGCCTGGTAGGCAAAAGTTGCAGTAAGCTGAGATCTTGGCACTGCACTCCAGCCTGGGCAACAGAGGGGAAACTCTTGTCTCAGTAATTAAGTAAGTAAGTAAATAAAAAATAAAGGAAGTTTAATCTTCAGAGTGGAAGAACTCTAACCATGTTTATCTTGAACTTTTACCCTACCTGTCTCAACACTGCTTTTAGAAAGGGTGGAAGTGAATAATTCCGAAGCTGGAAAAGTTCTGAGGGCTCACATTCCGTCACAAAGGAGTTTACATCACTTCGGTATTCCACTGGGCAGACAAAGTACTGGTATTTGGATAACACATAGGCAGCCTGGTGTCAAAAGAAAAAAATAAACAAAGCAAAAGTTCATGGCACATTGAATAAATATAAAAGCTATATATCAGAAAGGCCAGAGGTAGAATGCCAGAATTTCCTTAATATTCTGCTAACTTTGAAAATGCTACATATTTTCAAAGTTAGATGGTCATAATTATCCTAGTAAAAGACTTAAAAGATCTTTAGAAAAGGAAAGTTTTTTGAATTACTGAGAGATTGTAATCTCTACATGATCACAATTATAATGGTACAGGAGAACAAAGAACTGCAGTATACCGCACACAAGCTTTTATTAATTTCATCAGTTAATAATTAACCAGCAATTCAAAATTACAATGAAAATAGTACAAAATAGTAAGGCAAAAACACATTGTTCTTTTTTTTTTTTTTAAATTGTACTTTAGGTTCTGGGGTACATGTGCAGATCATGCAGGATTGTTGCATAGGTACATACATGGCAATGTGGTTTACTGCCTCCATACCCCTGTCACCTCTATCTGGCATTTTTCCCCATGTTATCCCTCCCTTACCTCCCCACTCCCTGCTGTCCTTCCCCTAGCCCCAGCCAACAGACCCCAGTGTGTGATGCTCCCTCCCTGTGTCCATGTGTTCTCTTTGGTCAACACCTGTCTATGCGTGAGAACATGCGGGAAAAACACCATTGTTCTTAACCAACCCAGAAAACTTTGATTAAATTATTCTTTCCCTGGCCGTATCACTGCAATTTTTAAAAGTAGCTCTCCTCAGCCTTGGAAGTAAGGTACATAAAATATGCTGTTATAAATGTCAATTGCTACACGACAATTTATTCTCTTTTTCTTGCAGCCATTTACCCTATTATTCTGCTCAAGAATTCTTAATAGAAATTCAAGACACTAGGAATGAATATAAACTAATTTTGCTTCCAAACAGCCAGTTTATTTTACATACGTAATTTCATATAGATGTGAAATTTCTTTTCTCATTATTTTGTCATGCATTACATACTTATGGGGTAGCTCCTAATTTTCTTCCAATGATATGGCTATTTCTGTGCTATTTTCAAGTTAGTCTTTAATAACAAATTCTTATAATATTTAACTTCATAATGTTTAACTGTTCTCGCTTTGTAATGTAAAAACATTGGATGAGATTGGATTCTTTTGCATTCTTTTGTCAATTATTATCCCATCAATAGTCTACAACAAAAATGTTAGAATAATTTTATCACATTTTATTAAAATGTTCATTGTGAATGAACTATATTTATAAATTAAATGGAGGAATTCTGGTGTTTTTCCCATCCAGGGTCATAGCATATTTCCATTTATTTGTATATTCACTCTCTCAAAGCTTCATGTTGTTACTAGGTACTCTAGATTTGGATACGAAATGTAACTACAACTGTCGGAAACTAGGAATAATGAAGCTTCCTGACAGTACTTTCTTTGTGTATTTATCTTATATCCAGCAATGGTACTATACTCTCATTCTCCCCAGACACCTTTTAATAAAAATCTAAATTGTATAACTGTAAACTAACTTGTAAAACATGAACAATAGCTATTTAAAATGCTAAAAGCGAACATGAATAATTTACAGTTAATAGACTGTTTCTGCAAGTTGGGCCCACAACAGTAACCACCCACTGAGCCAAGTGGCCACCATGTGTTTAAGAAAGCAGAGCTTTTCAATAGTTTTTGCCTCCTCTGCTATTACTCAAAGCCACCACCTGTCCTAGTACTTGTGCCCCACCTAAGGCAGAATAGCTATTAGTATTTAACTAACAGGTTAAACGTCCCACTTAAGGAAGAATAGCTGTTAGAAACTACCAAACACAACAGCAAAACAGCAAGTCAGCAAGACAGCTTGATGTCCATTAGAATTACCTGGGGCAGTTAATTGGCCTGGGATAAGGCTGAGACACAGATTTTGTTTAAGCTTCTCAGGGGATTCTATTTGCAGCCAGGATAAGGGCTACTGCTTCTTTTTAGTAGATTTTGATAAATACATTATTAGCATTTTGTGGTTTAATTTTTCTACATTTAAAATAGACTAACAAGCTTGGTTTCTTGACAAATCTGATAACAATTATGCCATAGGGAAGGGACAGACACACTTTCTCCTAGGGTAATTCAAATCATTTTTCAAAATGTATATAAAATAAAAATCTTAGTAATACTCACAATGAATCCAAACACAACTGTGGAAAAGAAACCACCAATGAATCCTTCCCAAGTCTTTTTAGGAGATAACTAAAAAAAAGGCAAATAAAATTAAAAAGCATTACTGCACTCAACAAAACTCACAATATATATACAAACTCTATGCAATGAGTTTCCTCAATACCTTGTACATCTCTCCTTACTTTTTCTCTTATTGGAATAGTTTAAAAACCTTTTTCCTTTGTTCTCTGATTTTGATTTACTAGTGAAAATCTCTCTAATAATATTTAAACACATAGTAGGCCCTCAAATACTTGACATGCCATGAATGTGTTTGTTCGTGTTAAATGGCCTAAATTTATTTATCTCTCAAAAGACTATAAACTCTAATGAAGTAACTGTCCCATGACTTTCATGCTAATATAAATCCTGATAATAGTTGGTATAAATTCTTGGAATAAGAATGAGATACATTAATTCCAACTACACACAGGTCTATTGGCCAAAAATAGAATGAGTACAACAAAACATGGACATTTTAGCACACATAATTTTCATATATTCCTAATACGCTATATACACACAGACTTCCTTCTGATATAGCAAAACACTCCAGAGCCCCAGATACTGTATTTGCTCAGGTATTCACATATCCTTCTTTTTTCACAATCCATGTCCATCTCCAAGAAGAAAGGAACATGTTGTGCTTCTAAGAAGAGATATTGTTTGTGGTGGATTCAGGCTATTTCTGCCCAGTCAATGGGACAACGATGGAGAGAAATCTGGAAAAAAATCTAGATGTTAGTGGTGTCGGGGCAGGAGGAAAAGATTTAGAAGTAGAAGGTGCAAGTTGTTGCCAGAGGAGGGAATGACCGTGGTGTGTGGGGATTTGGTCATCCAGTCATTAATGAGGGACAGAAACCAAACAGCAGAATGAAGTCTCTGAAAACTAAAATAGGTTATGGGCTAACCTATAAGAGCTCTTCATAGACCTCTTGTCCTGATATTCATAAAGCCTCAAACCAAAACATATGGCAGAAATGGTTTCCTGACAAATCTGATAATAATTATGCCATAGACAAGAGATAGACACACCTTCTCCTAGGGTAATTCAGTATCAATGCCGTAGAGTAGGAGCAGACTCAAATTCAAAGGTGCCTGTTGATTATTTTAAAGATAGCTTACCAAATTAAATTGATGCACATCATATCTATTTAGGGGTTAACTGTTCAATTATTTAAGTATATTATACAACTAATCCAGCCTGATAAATTCACTATAAGGCTGTGTTCAAAATCAGTCTTTTCCACAGCTGTAACAGCCTTTTTGAAGGCTTCTGATATGGTTTGGATCTGTATCTCCACCCAAATGTCACGTCAACTTGTAATCCTCAGTGTTGGAAGTGGGGGCCTGGTGGGAGGTGACTGGGTCATGGAGGCAGTTTCTAATGGTGAAGCACCATACCCTCTACTGCTGTCCCATGAGTTCTCATGGTACCTGGTTGTTTAAAAGTGGGTGGCACCTCCCCACTCTCCCTATTCCTTCGGCTCTGACCATATAAGATGTGCCTGCTTCCCCTTTTGCCAAGATAGTAAGTTTCCTGAGGCCTCCCCAGCTGTGCTTCCTGTACAGTCTGCAGAATCATGAGCCAATTAAAACTCAGGCATTTCTTTATAGCCGTGTGAGAATGAACTAATACAGCTTCCCAAGCAGAAAACTTGTCAGTCAGGGTAGAACTCTTGAATACATAAATCATGTGCTCTGGAGCGGCTTTAGAAATATTTAAAAAATATATAGCTTGATTGCCAGTATCCTTATCCAGCTCAGCCCAATGCTCTTTGAGTGCTGATACTCTCAGCAGACGCTCTTTGTGAGCTCCTTCCCAAGAGGGGAAGAGTTTACAAAGGTTTCTGGAAGAACAGGCAGTCCACAAATTCCTGTAGTAATGCGAAACTACCTTCATACCACTCTGAACAAACAGAAGGCTTTATATCTGAACAATTATTTCAGTCCCTCCAAACTGCCTTCATATAACAACATCAAAACAGCCAAGTAATAATATGTCTGTGAGAATATTAAAAACTTTGCCCAATGATGTGAAATGTGTGAATTTTATCTGCAACTCCAACATGTAAAGCTCTTTTAGGCCAGGTGCAGTGGCTCATGTCTGTAATCCCAGCATTTTGGGAGGCCGAGGTGAGCAGATCACTTGAGGTCAGGAGGTCTAGACCAGCATGGCCAACATGGTGAAATCCTGTCTCTACTAAATAAAAAATAAGCCAGGCATGGTGGCAGATGCCTGTACTCCCAGCTACTCAGGAGGCTGAGGCAAGAGAATCACCTGAACCCAGGAAGCAGAGGTTGCAGTGAATCAGATTGCTCCACTGCCCTCCAACCTGGGTGACAGGGCAAGACTCTGTCTCCAAAAAATAAAAATAAAAATAAAGAAAAGCTCTTTTAGAAGAAAGCAATTCTAGAAAATGATTTGCTTTCCATGAAAAATTGGTTTACTTCTTCTCCCAAATGAGAACTATATAACTTTTAGTTCATGTCCTTCTTTACCTCTATTGTCTATAAATAGAACCAATTCTATGGCCAAAAAAAACCATGGTCTACTCATATGTATTTTCATTTCCCTTTCACTGTTACTTATATTTTATTAGCATTTTATTGTAGGACCCAAAATCTTTTCTTGATCTGAGTTTGGATATAAAAGTCACACAAATGGATATGAAGATGTGAAGGTGATATTATATAATCTGCTCTTCTAGAAAATTTAGTAAAGAAGAGGACAGGTGAGGTGACAGATTGAAGGGAGAGGAGAGTCAAAGAAAAGCCTTCTCTATAGGCTTGCTGGGAAGAAGGATAAAGAAAATCTGTACCAATGGCTGAGGGAAAGAAACCATAGAGCCCAGGGGCAGTGGTTCACACCTTTAATCCCAGTACTTCGGGAGGCTGAAACAGGAAGACTGCTTGAGCCCAGGAATTTGAGACAAGCCTGAACAACATGGCAAGATTCCATCTCTACAAAAAATACAAAAATTAGCCAGGTGTGCAGTATGCACCTGAAGTCCCAGCTACTTGGGAGGCTGAGGTGGGAGGACTGCTTGAGCCTGGGAGGTGGAAGCTGCAGTGAGCCATGATCACACCACTGCACTCCAGCCAGGTGACAGAGTGAGACCCAAGAAAAAGAAAGAAAAGGAAAGGAAAAAAGAAAAAAGGGAAAGAAAGAAAAAAGAAGAAAGAAAAGGAAAGAAAGAAAGAGAGAGAGAGAGAAAGAAAGAAAAAAAGAAAGAAGACAAAGAGAAAGAAAGAAAGAAAAAAGAAAAGAAAAGAAAAGAAAGATAAAATGACGATGAAATGAGCCTTCACCAAAGAAAGGACAACTGATGAAGTCATGCCCTTACTGAGCAGCCAACAGAAGAGCTGATGAAGAACCCAGATGGATGTACTGGGAAATAATGGCTTGCTGCTCCTGCACCGTACAACTAAGGAAAATCAAAGCATCTCAGAAATAAAAAATGCACAACAGCACAGGTTGTTGGAAATGTTCTCCAGTGTCTAATCTTTAAGGTTATACAGTGGCTTGCTTATAATATTTTTCCATTACCTTAATTAATGGAGTTCTCCCAAAAAAAAATCCGAAAAGGTAAGCAGTTATGTCATTGCAGATAACACTTGATATTGGAAGAAGGAACCTGTTAAAAACAAACAAACAAAAAGCAGAAAAAGTTCATGTAAGTGGCAAATATTCACAGAGGTTATGATTCATAATAAACCAACAGAATAACCCTTTGGATTGCACTGCAGCCTAGCCCAGAACATAACACTTGCCAAAACAGTAGAAATGATAAATATCAACAAAATTTGCCCACTCGCAGTTTAAACAGAGCAAAATCTACAAATAAACTAGGAAGGAAATAAACACGCTAGGAAAATACTGCTAGGGAAAATATTAACTTACTGATTTCTACGGTTATGGATGTGTACATTTTAGTTTTATGAGGAACATGTTATAATAAAAATGAAAAGAAAGGCAGATTAAAAGCTGATCTTAAGAAAACCAGCCTTTTACTATGAAAATGAGTCATTTTTTAGACATAGCAAAATCTGATAAATTTATATCGAGCTCTTATTACATATTCTCAATTATTAATTTTAATTCTATCTTAGCTTGTGATTTCAGTAAACTCTACTAATGTACAGAACCTACTTACTTCAGTAACTGCCTCTATCAATGAAAAGTCTGTACAATACATGAAAAACAATCTTAAAATGATTCCGGTTACATACACATACACATACACATACATATACACATAGACAGACACACACACACACAGACACACACCTACACTCTTGGTAAAAAGACATGAAGCTGTCAAAGGAATACGATGTATCTTGATAAAACCCACCAACTGTTAAAGATTTTAATTAATGAGTTTAAAATGAACATGGGGAAAGTATGGTTAGTTTTCTAAATCTTAAGCTTTTTCTCCATTTCAACTAATTTTTAATTTATAATTTTTACCTAACAAAAATGCTTTCTGAATATGCAAGCCACTGCCATAGAGTGATGAATTTCTACAATCTGGAAACCCAGGTCTACATAAGAGCAAAGTAGAAAACCTACCCAACTTTCACCTGAAAAAACATACATATCCTCATAGCAGTTATTAACAAGCAAAGTTTTCTTTGTGTGGATTTTTTTTTTTTGCATTCTATGTAAATAATATCTTAGCAAACATTATCTTTAAAGTCTATTTTTGTGAAAAGTCACATTAGGATTTATTAACACCTAAAAATGTAATTGTTTGGGGCTTTTGTGGGAACTTCCTACATTTTATTTGGAACCTGAATAAGAATGGTATCCAGTTGTTAATGAAGCATTTTGTCTTTAGTTGTCAAATAGTAAGCAAAACTCAGTAAGACAGTTCAATGGAATATAGGAACAACAAACAGTACATTTTAGTAGAAACCTGTAAGATGCTGTCCAATGTTAAAGAGCTATAAAAGTGCTATGACATAACTATAAAGCAGCATAATACTGTTGCCTTACCATATCATGCCTTCAAACAGACTTTGGATGACAAGGTGTGACTGAGTAACAATTATCAGTAAAGTGACATGAGTCCATGCGAACTGTTAATAGCCCAACAATACAAAAATTAGTGAACACAACTGATCAGTGCAGCTGAAGAAGCAACAGCAATACTGAAACACAAATATCTACCATGACTTTGGGTCAAAATGTGTAAGTTAAGAGTCATATAAAATAAACACTGTTAGTAAATTATGCTTCTTTTGTTGCCTACTGGAACCTTCAAATAATGAAAACATTTATTTAACAAAGTAACCTCAATTTATATACAAATAGAATGCCCATAATAGATATAGTACTAAATTTTAAAACATATAAAAAATAAACCATTATCTTGAATCATTAGATTTGTGAATAAGAAAGTGATAATGAGAAATCTCCGTTGATGTTTTAGCATTTAAAGAGGAACACTTTACTCTGGCTGCATTCTGCAGTTATCAAAAAATGCTAAAAATTACTTCAATGACAGTATTCAATTTCAAATTTTTAAAGACCTTTGTGTTTCACCAATTCTACCTAGCCTTAGAGATGGCCACTTTTAACATAAGTAATATGGGTAGAATGTAAACAAAAAGAAGCTAAGGTTTCCATGTACTAGTCTTATAATTTTTATTGAAATTCATAAAATTACTTTTAAAAATTCTTAAGATTTTGATTTATTCTCCCTGGACTCCCACTCTTAAGACAGGGTCTCACTCTCTCACCCAGGCTAGAGTGCAGTGGTGTGATCACAGCTCACTGCAGCTTTGACCTCCCAGGCTCAAGTGATCCTCCTGTCTCAGCCTCCCCAGTAGCTGAGACTGCAGGTGCACACCACCATGCCCAGCTAATTTTTGTATTTTTTGTAGAAATGGGGTTTTGTCATGTTGCCCAGACTGGTCTCAAACATCTGGGCTCAAGGTATCTGCCTGCCTTCGCTTCCCGAAGTGTTGGGATTATGGGCATGAGCCATCGACACCTGGCCTTTTGATTTATTCTTAATAAATCTGTTTCCGGTTAAGCAACCATATTATATTGGTTGCCTTATTTTGTTCTATTTTTATCTCCTTAGAAGATACAATTCTCTTTTACCCTGATTGCTTAAAAATTCATAAATTTTTTTCCAATAGATACCATTTATATTTTCACTGGATATTCTACTATTTTTAATTGTCTTGATTGCTTGTACATGAAACTCACTAAGAATTTTACTCTTCATGCTCAGATCCCCTGAAATTAGAAACATAAGAAACACAACAATTTCCCAGCAATGATGTTCTACAGAATGTCTTAATGGAGAAAAGCTAAGCATAAAAAACAGAAAATATATTCCAAGTCCAAAATAAGCCAATTACTTAAATTTACAGATCTGAATACTACTTTGCATTGCACGGTGTTACTAGCTACAGTTTTATAAAATAATAAAAGTTCCTATGTAAAGTGTTACACTTCTTAAGATAGGCTTTGGTACATTGCACAAAATACCTTATGCCAAAAAGAATTACAGAATTCTATGACCAAACATAACTACCAAGACAGTACATGCTCTGTTCCTTTATGCTCCTGCCAAGTGCAAGTAAACAGCTACCTTCACAGAACAATATGGTAGTTGTTTCCCAGACTTAGTTACTGATCAGGACACTAAGAAAATTCTTCAAATTTCTACAAATTTAAGGAACCCAAATACTTTAAATTTACACCCTTTGAAAATATTCAAAGAAAAAGTTTTTAGTAAACTTTGAAAACAGTTTAAATTTTAAAATTCTCACAAACTTCTCAACTTTACTAATTTATATTTAATAGTTATCTGAAATCCAAATATCCCTCACATTCACACAAAACAACAGCTAGCAGATTCGATTGTATCTTCTCACTACAAAAAGAAAAAAAAGTTAAGGGTTTTTATCACAGATAATGACTAAGGAATAATGGTTAATACACACCATATAAAACTGCAGACGACAATGTTTCTTCACCAAACTCAGTACAAACATGCAGAAACCTGTTCAACAACAAAAAACATGTGCTCATTGTAAATTTGGTACAGAGTTAAGATTCCCTGAGCCCAAATAAACCAATTTCCTATATCATAGCTAGGCATATTTTAGGCATTTAGTCAAATGCCATCTCTCCTACTATCTTATATTATGGATATTAAGTAAGCTTCTTGAGGGAAACAATCTTGTACTCTCCAAAGTGCCTAATATATTCCATGGCACAAATTCAATAAACAGCCTCTGCATTAATTCAATTAATTAGTCCCTTGCTAATATGTGAGCATGGAAAATAGATCTTAAATTTACACAGAATTTATTTGCTATAATAATACATCAAAAGTATGTACAGAATGTTTTCAATCTCTACATAATAGAAAAATTAATAACATTATAGCTGCTAAAGTCTATTGAATGCTTACTATTTCTAGGCTCTTATCTAAGCATTTTAACATTAATAATCATAAGCCTTTGTTATCAACTCATTTATCCTTTCAAAATCCCCATAATATAGATACTCATTATTAGCTCCATTTTACAGATGAGGAAAAATGCACAAAGGGCTTTATTAATTTACTGTGGATCACAGGGCTAGAAAACAAACATTCAAATCCTATTGACCCTTAAGAGTCATGTGGTTCCATAAACTGAGATCAGCAAAATTCAGGTTAAGAGCAATTTGCAATTTCTCAAAACCAGACAATAATTATAGTAAAATGTAATACTCTTAATAATGTAAACACTTACAACAGTATTTGTGTCTAAGTATACATTTTACAAATTACAATGATAAGTTATTAAATTCTAACCAATTAAGTGAAATCCAATAATCATATACTAAAATAATGGGAGGCAATATGAAGCACTTCTTGCCCAAAATACCAGTACACTTCTAAAGATAGGTTTACTTTACAGATGTGGATATTGAAAATGCATAAACCAAGTTTAATTTCAGATAAACGGCTATGTATGCATTCTATTCTGCAGCATCTTTTTTTTCCTCTCTCTGTTTCTCACTCTGTGGCCCAGGCTGGAGTGCAGTGACACAATCACAGCTCACTGCAGCCTTGAACTCCTGGCCTCAAGCAATCCTCCCACCTTGGCCTTCCAAAGTACTGAGATTACAGGTATGAATCACTGTACCCAGCCTTTGCAGTATCTTTGAAGAGTGAGTCCTCCAAGATAGAAATTGAATTTTCAGTTGACCAATTCTACATAAAATAAATACTAGACTTTGTATATCCAAGTTATACTTACCAAGGCAATTCTACCAATAGAGTAAACAAAGAAACAAACTAACAAACATTAAACAAAGCAACAAACTAAACAAAGAAACAAACAGCAGCTGCCTTTCGCTACTTTTGATGATCAATTTGAAATGTCAAAGCATAAAGGACCATGACAAAATGAAGACAACGTATATTGACCCCAATCCTATCTCACCTCCTATTTGTCATCTATGAGGTAATCCAACTAACTGGCCTGCACAAGCAATTTGGACACATTTTCTGAGTGGAGGCACAACTGAAAGCCATTATGTTGCTTTATTGAGAGAAAGACAGAAAAAGAGAAAGAATGAGAGATACTAAAAAATGAAATTAATAGCATTAAAATGGCCAGTTGTATAACAGATTCCTTTTAAAAGTCCTGCTTTTGAGTTTTTCTTCTATAGCAGGTAGACTTATCTTGAAGGTCAAGTAATAATGTAATTTCTATGCTATTTGGTTCCACTGATCCATGATTAAGGATGAACCCCGACTGGACTTGGTTCAAAGGCCAATAGGTATGAGCAAAGCAGAGACACAAGACAGAAACCATGTTTTCTGTCCAAAGAGACCCCTTGACTCTCCCAGCACAGCCTTGGAACTTCTCAATGTCATTAACTATGAATTACCTACTCACAAGTACTACTCCAAAATACATGGTTTTCTTTTTTATGAAATTATAACACCATTCACCCTTACATTTCTTCAAACAAAATTACCAGTAGAATCATTTAACATTTTCCTAATGAACATTTTATCCAGGGCAGCCTTGGCAACTCACATTTACCTGATCCAATTTCACCTATGGGATAATAATTGTCTTGACTCCTAGACACATTAATAATCTCTGACTTCCTCCAAGTCAGAGAATGTATCTAGGAGTCAGATAATTAACTGTCTAACTTAAAAATATATTTATATTATGTTTTAATAAATCTATGGAAAGGGTAACTTTTTGTACACTTGGATCCATAGTTTTTATTTTTTCCTGATTAACAAAGAATGGCTGTATGACTACTTCTAAATTAAAATGACAGAATGTGTTGTAGAACTATAAATAAAAGCACTGAAAAGCATCCTAATATATAGTGCTTTACATAAAAGTTATACTTATCATCATTTATCTGTATAATATTGTGTCTGGTGTTCTCAATACAAAGGTACATATATTGTGTTGCCCAGCATCAGAGCTCTCCGGTGATTAGGCAGATACCCAATAAACTAAAGAAAGATATATTTAAAAAGTACAAGAGAATGCAAGTGCAGTGTCCTATGCCTATAATCTCAACAACCTGGGTGGCCAAGGCAGGAGGATAGCTGAGGAGGCCATGAATTCAAGACCAGCCTAAGCAACACAGCAGGATCCTGTCTCTAAGAAATAAAAGTAAAAATTAGCCGAGCCAGGTGGCACACATCTGCAGTCCCAGCTACTTGGGAGGCTGAGGCTGGAGGATCATTTGAGCCCAGGAGTTTGAGGCTGCTGTGAGCTATGATCAAGCTATTATACTCCAGCTTGGGCCACAGAGCAAGTCACCATCTCTCTCTCTCCTTTTTTTTTTTTTAAAAAAAAAAGAAGAGAAGGTTTTTAAGCGGGTCAGGAAAAGTAAAGGAAAAAACACAAGATACTGAAAAGCCTAACAGATGAGAGAGAGGGAATTTCAGAAAAATAGATAAAAAATATTTTTCAAGCACCTATCATATGCCAGAAACAAGAAGCAAAAACGAATTAAGATAGGCACTGTCGGCCGGGCGCGGTGGCTCACGCCTGTAATCCCAGCACTTTGGGAGGCCGAGGCGGGTGGATCACGAGGTCAAGAGATCGAGACCATCCTGGTCAACATGGTGAAACCCCGTCTCTACTAAAAATACAAAAAATTAGCTGGGCATGGTGGTGCGTGCCTGTAATCCCAGCTACTCAGGAGGCTGAGGCAGGAGAATTGCCTGAACCCAGGGGGCGGAGGTTGTGGTGAGCCGAGATCGCGCCATTGCACTCCAGCCTGGGTAACATGAGTGAAACTCCGTTTCAAAAAAAAAAAAAGTAGGCATCACTGTCATTCAGGAGCTCATACTCTTGTGGAAGACACCAAAAACTAAGAAAAAAATAAAGTTGTTTTTTAAATTTACCATTGATGATTAGTCAAAATTTAGTAAACACATGTACTCCTTAAATCAAAAAACAGACAGTAGGATGGGCTCAGGATTAGCTTCTGACTCATCTCTCATTCTTTCACTTGGTTATATTCTTCATTACACTTGCCAAAACCATCAAAACTTTCTAGCATCAAATTAAATAAATTCAAAAGCACACTGCATTGTTTGCCTTTATTCAGACACCAGACTACAACTGAGTTGTTCTGAAAAAGTTTTAAATGAATATGCACTGTAGATATTGTCATACAAACCAATCATCATATTAGTTAAGATTTTTAAAAGTTTTCTATTAATCTGAATGGTTAGTCTAAGGTATAGAACCAATACTAGAATGCATATAGAATTTAGTAGTCTTTAATTCAGAAACTTTAAGTAGTTTGGAGATAGTCTTTTGTGAAATTATTTGTGACACTTTTTTAAAGATTTCATTAGTATCCTCTGATATAAAAGATAGGATGTTTGGGGAAAACATCTTAATTATGCATTAATTTTAGCTATACCTTAGTTTTATATGTCCATCAATTTTCTTGAACTGAAAGCATAACATTCAAATCATATTATCTCCATAAGAACTTTAAAGAAACCAAAATAGCTATGCATGCACATACACAAGCAAAAAATAATTTATTAAACATAATATGCACATCACTCTAGTTGGATAAAGAAATGTAAGGTAATAATATTAAGGGTCAAAGACCTTAAGTTTGTTTACCCATCACTGCTAACCATGTAATCTCATGACTGCTCTGGTTTCTAAAGAGCCCCAATTCCAAATCACCAAGTTGATGAGTTCTTTCTAATATAAATCTAGACTGTAGAGAAAATGTTTGTCTTATTATTTTTAGTCTCCCTGATTTTCTCTGCTATCAGTCACTCATTTTGCAACAAAATTATCTAAATGCCAAGATAACTTCCAGGTCAGAGTCAGTGAGACACTTTGTATAATATTAAACAAGTCATTTAATTTCATGGAACTCGATGAGGGGGTCAGAACTGGAGATACCTACATTTTATTTAAATAAAATTCAATGTCAATGAAGAAGCTTGAACTGTTTCTGCTTTTTAAATCTGGTAAGACATGTATTGTCTGAAGTCATTTAACCACTATAATAGAACTAACATTTTGATTGTCTGAAGTCATTTAACCACTATAATAGAACTAACATTTTGACAGGGCCCTTGAAATATTGTTTAGCTAAAAAGACTTGCAAAGATTTCCACAGCACAATTTGAAAGAAAGGTACAAATATCTCAACGTTAGCACACTTTCTATTTCCATAGTCCTGTTTCAACGACTAGCTCCATTACCTGGACTAAGCTCACGAATGTTGCTAATCACTTCAAGAGTAGCCACTAAGGCCTCAAGACTCAGCAAACAAAACACTGATGTTAAGGAAGTATCACTAAGAAGCACTGTGTGTGGATGTGCATGTTCTCAGCCTTTTAATCATTTATCCAGCAAATACACATTGGGACCCTAAATGCTGGACCTGCACTGTGCTCTGGAAATTAAACAAACATGAGAGGTACACCATGGGTGCTTTTGGTCTAACCAAGCCATTTTTAGGCCACCCTTAAAATGATAATAGACA